GGGTGACCCAGAATAAGTGCTTAGGCTTAGGCCAATCAATATGGCCTATAGCGATTTTTACCCTGTGGGCCCTAATCTCTGAAATACAGCCCCAGAAACCGACACCCAAATGTGGTCCGTGGCCCGCAACTCTTTGACACCTCCGTTTTGGTTCATAAAATTAGTTATATTTTTAGCGGAGCGAACTGCTGTCATTAATCATCAAAATAATTGCTAAATATTCTCCGAACGCAACCATCCCGAGTACTAAAATACCAAAATACGGTCCCTGGAATTTAATTATGCATCCAGTTACCCAGCGGATCGAATTTCCTCAACCTCCGTCGCAAACTCGCTAATAACTTTTCGTAATGGCTGTGCTGCAGCATGTCTGGATTTTTTGGCTTGGTCCGCACTTGTTCGTTTATTTAGTCTATTCCAGGCAGAATCGGTTTCTTTTTTTAAAAACAAAAGTATCGAATGTAAGCCTCGGGTTCTGTTTTCACCGGTGCGACTGCGCATCACAAAAGGCTCATATTTCGAAACCCTTGGTACATTATTATTTCGTTGTTTCTATGAAAAGTTTTGAAGCCTGCTATAATTTTTTTATATGGCATTATCTTTGTATACACTTATTTTGGGTCACCCTGTATATGTTGTGGATACTTTATTTTCAAAAACCAACGCGATACACGTTTTAATCCGACGCTGAACCAACGCTGTGTATTTGCACGCTGATCACCTTTGCCTTGCCCCTCATCTCGAGGTACTTTCTAAAAAAATTCTTATAGAAGGTATGTGAATCTCACCCGATCGTCATTTTATATACCGCCACCCGGTACGGCTTATTGATCAGGATAACAATTGTCGAATGGCATAGGCCGTGAGTGGCAAATACGCCGATTAAAATATTGTTGATCCCTGGAACAGCAATTTTTCAAACAACAAAAAACAGAAATACACTGATAATAGTCAATGTCGGTAAATACGATAATCGCATAATATCCCCACGGGGTCGCGAATGCTACGAGTGGTATCATGAGCTGAAAAATATAATGGAGCCGATTTGCAAAGCCTGTAAGCTTTGTTTGGGTCATGGCGAAAAAGATTGGTCGAGTTGCCTATTGCCTACGCTTGTAGCGTGCCCCTATGACCGTAACCCTGCTGCCATGCCAAGGTGAGCCGGTTCTGAGAATTTCCCCCACTTTTATCGTCCGATACATTTTATGCTCAACTACACCCGTCACCTTGCCGTAGTATCGAATAAACTTCTAGCGTTTATTTGATGCGGAACTCTGCACAGCACAGGACACAACAATTTGCCTACCTGCAGGGTAAGTATTGCAACGTAGCGCTTTTGCATTTTCCTGGTGTTTACACTCATATGGCTTTGTTCAGCGTTGAGGACGAGGAACGAATGTGCGATCAGGAAAGTTATCTGAATCTTGTTAGAAATACGCAGACAGTCGTAAAACCCCACGGGAAACCCTCTAAAGTGATAACGCCTACCAAGGAAAAGACGACGGCGATCACCGTCAAAAGGACTATGCAGGAAAGTGCGATTTTGTTCTCGGTCCTATCGGCGGCATAGATGGAGCTCTTCGCCACGAACGGTTGCCAAACAGGGGTATTTCTTGACAGGGGCAAGTCGGAGGTCTTACTATAATTTACTTACTATGATGAGAGCTTGCATGGCCGGGCTGTCAAAACCAGCCACGACGGGCAGACGTCCAATTGCCCCACAAACGAATATTGCGGTTGCTATATAAACGAACGCCATGAAGGCGATCCAACTGCGTTTCGTCAGTCTAGAATGATATGGCAAGTTGTGAGGCGGGAATTTTCAAAAGTACAGGACCGACCTTCGAAAAGGGCTTGCACTACTCAACCCACTTTAATCGACTGCCACTATCCAAAATACGTTGGTGCTTGAAAAATAGCGTCTGAACGATGCCGCTCATCGTAAGGGTCGTCATAAAACCGGCCAATGTCTGCATAAAATACGAAGGCAAGCGAATGATAACTTACAAACGCGCCAACCCATCCCATCCCAAAACCGTGCCCCAGGGCCCTAAAACACGACCCCCAAGGGCTGGGCACCAGAATTCGGGTAGGGTAGTAAAGAGAATAAACTCAAACATGATCGAGAATACCTCGAATTTTATTGGCATCTGCCGTTTGGTATAGTTTTTCCAACCTGCGACGTCAAAAAATGAACACGAATATCAACTATAATAATTTTGTTGTGGTCTCCGTCCGAAGCCGAATTCAACTCGAAGGGGAAAGGAGCTAGAGCTTAGCTCTCTTCGGATTCGGATAGAGCGTGGTCAGAAACCCCCAAACTGATAAAAAAATTACGAAAAAGTTTTAGTTTAAATTATTAAAATTAACTTTGAAAGTTTTTTCCTTAGTAAAAGGGGCGGGGGACGGAGGTTGGGGTGATTTTGGACATAGTGAGCCAGGTCGCGCGCGTTTCGTGGATGAAAATTTTCACGGGGGATTTCATTTCTTTTTTTCTTTCATTCCATCCGGTCGGTCGTTATTTTCGTTTTTTAAAAGGATTTCGGCTAGGGGAGGTATCTTAAACCATCAGGAAGGTATTTAGGTAGTTTTTGAAGGGATTTCAGCCATGGGGGTATCTGAAGCCATCAGGAAGGTATCGAAGTAGTTTTTAAGGGATTTCAGCCATGGGGGTATCTGAAGCCAGCAGGAAGGTATCTAGGTAGTTTTTGAAGGGATTTCAGCCATGGGGGTATCTGAAGCCATCAGGAAGGTATCTAGGTAGTTTTTGAAGGGGATTTCAGCCATGGGGGGGTATCTGAAGCCATCAGGAAGGTATCTAGGTAGTTTTTGAAGGGGATTTCAGCCATGGGGGTATCTGAAGCCATCAGGAAGGTATCTAGGTAGTTTTTGAAGGGATTTCAGCCATGGGGGTATCTGACGCCATCAGGAAGGTATCTAGGTAGTTTTTGAAGGGGATTTCAGCCATGGGGGTATCTGAAGCCATCAGGAAGGTATCTTGGTAGTTTTTGAAGGGATTTCAGCCATGGGGGGTATCTGAAGCCATCAGGAAGGTATCTAGGTAGTTTTTGAAGGGATTTCAGCCATGGGGGGTATCTGAAGCCATCAGGAAGGTATCTAGGTAGTTTTTGAAGGGGATTTCAGCCATGGGGGTATCTGAAGCCAGCAGGAAGGTATCTAGGTAGTTTTTGAAGGGGATTTCAGCCATGGGGGGTATCTGAAGCCATCAGGAAGGTATCTAGGTAGTTTTTGAAGGGATTTCAGCCATGGGGGGTATCTGAAGCCATCAGGAAGGTATCTAGGTAGTTTTTGAAGGGATTTCAGCCATGGGGGGGTATCTGAAGCCATCAGGAAGGTATCTTGGTAGTTTTTGAAGGGGATTTCAGCCATGGGGGGTATCTGAAGCCATCAGGAAGGTATCTAGGTAGTTTTTGAAGGGGATTTCAGCCATGGGGGGTATCTGAAGCCATCAGGAAGGTATCTTGGTAGTTTTTGAAGGGATTTCAGCCATGGGGGTATCTGAAGCCATCAGGAAGGTATCTAGGTAGTTTTTGAAGGGATTTCAGCCATGGGGGGTATCTGACGCCATCAGGAAGGTATCTAGGTAGTTTTTGAAGGGGATTTCAGCCATGGGGGGTATCTGAAGCCATCAGGAAGGTATCTAGGTAGTTTTTGAAGGGGATTTCAGCCATGGGGGGTATCTGAAGCCATCAGGAAGGTATCTAGGTAGTTTTTGAAGGGGATTTCAGCCATGGGGGGTATCTGAAGCCATCAGGAAGGTATCTAGGTAGTTTTTGAAGGGGATTTCAGCCATGGGGGGTATCTGAAGCCATCAGGAAGGTATCTAGGTAGTTTTTGAAGGGATTTCAGCCATGGGGGTATCTGAAGCCATCAGGAAGGTATCTTGGTAGTTTTTGAAGGGATTTCAGCCATGGGGGGTATCTGAAGCCATCAGGAAGGTATCTAGGTAGTTTTTGAAGGGGATTTCAGCCATGGGGGGTATCTGAAGCCATCAGGAAGGTATCTAGGTAGTTTTTGAAGGGATTTCAGCCATGGGGGTATCTGAAGCCAGCAGGAAGGTATCTAGGTAGTTTTTGAAGGGGATTTCAGCCATGGGGGGGTATCTGAAGCCATCAGGAAGGTATCTAGGTAGTTTTTGAAGGGATTTCAGCCATGGGGGGTATCTGAAGCCATCAGGAAGGTATCTAGGTAGTTTTTGAAGGGGATTTCAGCCATGGGGGGTATCTGAAGCCATCAGGAAGGTATCTAGGTAGTTTTTGAAGGGGATTTCAGCCATGGGGGGTATCTAAAGCCACCAGGGAGGTATCGAAGTAGTTTTTTAAGTGGATTGCATGAAGGGTAGCCCGAAGGCCAGATGGTTACAGTCGCGAAGCGACTGGAACCATCTGGTCTTTCATAATCGCTGGGGATTTGTTGATGATCACATAGACAGATAGCAGAGCCATTGGCACACTAACAACAGGTACAAAATGGCCGTACGTTACGTAAATATGTGGATAGGTATAAGGGACACATTCCGGTGACTCCATCCAACCTTGACAATGCAAAAACGTTTTTCAAAGGGGGGGAAGTAGAGAAGCTTCTTGGCGGCAGGTGATAAAGAAATTGCCCCTTGCACGTACGTAGGTTTTTTGCTTCTGGTCGCCTGAGGTTCCTTACCTGGAAGGAAAATTCAACACCTACAGTACACAATTGCTGCCTAACATGCACAGGGTGTCCCAAAAATAAAGCGAATCATCTGGCCTTTCGCCGTGTTACAACCAATCGGCCACCTACATATGGTCACCTCCTACCTATCATTAGCGTTCCGATGGCCACACTCGGTCTTTATCTAATTATTAAAAATTCGCCCCTATCATGAAGGAAATCCGGGTCCATTTGGTGACGTCGCAGGTCTACAGGGCGTCTCAAATATGGCCCTTCTGACATTTCGCCGTGTTACATCGAATCGGTCCCAAATCTGGACCAGAGGCGTATCAGATCCTAAATAACAACAATCCTGACTTATGGCACTGTATTCCTAAGCATCGTCCCTCGGGGGGGAACAGTGCTTTAGCCCGAACCTTTGCTGTCGTCTAGTAGCCAAATTTTCGAAAACGCACCCAGAGTACAGCCAAAACACAGCCAAAACCGGACATGGTGCGTGAAATCTGATTCCGGTTGCGGCCAGATACCTTTTACGGCACACTCCTTTGTTTGTCTGGTCCAAAAATTGGTGCGGATAATTGCGGATACTCCATTTTTCGTTATTTAGTTTAAGGTGCCGTGCCCGATTTTTGGCCTCTTTATATTGGAAAGTTGAAACATGACAGCTTACGAAAGAAGTAATTATCATAAACTTAAAAATTTAAACAGAACGAAGAATCAGAATTAAGGGTTGGAACCGGCGACCAGAAAACAGCAAAATTTATGAATATGCTTCGCGGATAGCGGACTGCTATGCTATTACAAATTGAAACACAAAGCGGGAGGTTTTCAGGCATGATTAATACATCGGCGAAGCATTGTAGGTATAAAACTTTCACACAACCGCTTAATTTTGTCCAAATAATCAACGAGATGCTCCAGCGCTTTCAGAGTTCCGGACATGGGAGTCGGCTCTTCAGCGCCGCTTTGAAAGATTTTGCTCGGATGCCGTGGCCACCACTGCAACTTCAGGATCTCCCGAGTCCGCTGGCGATATGTCTGAAAATACGGATAGTAAAAAGGAATCGAGGTCAATTATAATTCCTCAATTGTCGTGTCAAGCGCCAGGCACCTTAAAAAGTAGTAGAGCTAAAATCGCGTCACATCCGGAGTAGCCTCCTATGAAGAGTGGAGCGCATATTCCCCAGTTGTGGGGGACGATTCCTAATAAAATCGGGGGTAAAAATTATGGAGAATCGGAAACTACCTGTTCTCCCTCCAATTAGAACCACAAAAACGGGCACGAATTCGAAAATGAACGGGGAGATCGCCTATAAATACTGTAATTTAACAGAAAAATCCATTCATTGTGGCCCTTGAAAACAGTTCCGAAAGCCGAAATAACTTCTCAAGGATCGCTGCTCATTTGCTATGATTATAAAGCTTAAAATAGGGACTACCTGGGCTAAAAGGAGAAACAACAATTGAGCTGAAATCGTTGTACCGTGCCGCTCGTGGTGTTGCGCTTCACGTAGTAATATCTGAAGCGCGAATTTATCAAACTTTTGCCTGGTTATTCATTTTTATTTTTTTAGTATCCATGCTTACAACATGTGATAGCATACTTAAATCGAAAAATTACTGCTTACAATTTGATCCCGGTGATGCATGTCGCTCCGTAGAGTCCGGAAAATACGCACAATGCGATCACCGTCCCAGACACCATAATCCAATCATAATGTTCAACACCGTAGTTGTCAGGGTGCTAAAAAAATGGCTTTTGATCTTTACTTAAGATAAACAGGTCCAAATTCGATAAAATTCACTTACCGAAAACACGGGTCCGTAATAATAAATATCGGGCGTGAGGGTGATATTCAAAAATTCCTTGGTTTCAGTGTAGGAAAGCATTCTTCGTATGTCGCTTGGCTTAAATAATTTTGTTTTGGGTTAATAAGTATTTTTCGACTGACCTGCATTGAAATTAGACAAGTCGATTCTATTGCCCAGGATATGGAAAAATGCCAGACGGTTAGGGCAATGATACCCCTCTTCTTTTCGATCATGTCTCGATATTTTCTGTATTTTTTATAAACCTTTTTGGAACTAATACCCAGTGATTTTGACATATCGATAAAAGCAGTGGATCATCAACAACGATAGCGATTGACCAAAGCCATTCACAAAAAGCGCGAGACCAATTTTGGAGGCGGTCACCATGTAGGTAAATGTTTTCGAAATCACGATGAACCCGCGCTCGTCCATGATGTAGGCCTTTAAGAATATAAATAAAATTTTTATCAGATTAACGTAGTTTAAGGTTTGTGACGTAATTGGCGCTCATACAACTTTAGGCTATTCATTCTATTTGATATATGTATCGGAATTATCCGAACTTTGATGATCCTTTTCAAAAACGGATAAACCTACCGGATTGACCACTTTTGTAACGATCGAATAATAGATATTAAAAACGGATATAATCGTGAGTATTGGCCGACTCCCCCGGGCTTCCCGTCGGGTTACGGTATAGATGACAAAGAGTAGAAACAGATTCGACCCGACGCCAATAGCGCACACCCAGGTGCTGGCATAGTCTTGGAATTGACTGGTGCATATCATCCTGCCTTAAATTCAAAAAGTATGCTACTAAGCGTCTGGTCAAACTATAGTTTCATCACCTATAATGAGTATTTCTTGGAAAAAATGCGCTGGGAGCGCTGCGGTTTAAAACAATCAACCAAAACAATCTCAGGACACTTTGGCAGTCCGTCTGGAGCGGGATACCTTTGAGCGCGTACTTTTGTCATTGAAACATAGAAAATTCACAGAAATTGGAATTTTGAAATAACTGCTTTGGATGCATGGGACGTTTCATAGACTTGGACTTACGCTTAGGCGGATGCTTACGTTTCGAAGTTGGGCTAAGCCAAACAAGGCCAAGCCTAAGATGCTTTGACGACGATGCGTGAGCAGGCTCTTTAATAAGTTTTGCAACAAGCAGATACGCGTTTTCAGGAGGGAAAATTAAATGCGATGTCAGCCATCTGACTGGCGATGTACAACATTCCTTTCGAACCAGAGAACCAACAACGAATGGGACGAACTTGTGATTCATAGAGTTTTATCGTTTCCAAAAAAAAACGGTACTTTAATCAGCGAATTTGGCACAATATGCTGGTGGCCAGGTTCCGGATGCCCCCATCAGGGAATTCAAATCCATGCATCATCATCTGTGTCACTTCATATTCGATTTTCGGTGTACTGTATCGTCGATTATTTGTCCTCAATCGCTAAAAGTAAAGTTTTTTTTACTCAGGCTGAAACTACGAAATGAGACCTAACCCAACTTGTGCAGAATTTTACGCTGACTACGCATCTGTTTTCAAAAGTCGCGGTATGGCAGATTTTGAACAGTTACAATGTATTTTAGTGTTCGACAGTGTAAAAATACCCAAACTTCAATGTTCAATGGCAAAATGCCAGCGTGACGTTTTTTATTGGGACACCCTGTATACGAACAAAAAAGAAAACTTTGCAAAATTGCATTAAAATTTATGTAGGTGTCGCAACACTTTGAAGGGCTCCAGACATCGGTGCTGCTTCTATCGTCCCGCCTTGAAAGATTTTGCTGCGATGCCCTGGCCACCAGTGCAGTTTTAGGATTTCGATAGTGCGGCGACGATAAACCTAAAAAGAAGCATCAGTACGGCAATTTTCATTCAAGCCCCTAGCACCTACTATACCTTGAAAAGAAGCAGCGCCAAAATCGCATCACAGCCCGAGTAGCCTCCAAGGAAGAGTGGGGCGCAGATGCCCCAGTGATGTGGAACAATACCTAAATGTTTATCATAAAAAGTCTATCTATCTTAAAGGGATAGGGGCGGCATGAGTCAATCGATTAAGCGCGGGAAAGAAAATGTCTCTGCGCCTCTCCCCTGGGCGCCCCCTCTCGTCGCCCCATCTGTTGAACCCCCCCTCCCCAAGGGGGGTTCAACAGATGCCGTACTCATCTCTTTAAGTCTTTCTTGATTTACCTGTCGTTCCACCAATCAGTATTACAATTGCGGGCGCGAATTCAAATATGAACGGCGATACTGCCTGAATTGTCGCATAATTTTTGAAACTACGGTCTATTACAAACCCAATCTTCCGTCCATTCAACTATAATAATTTTGTTGTGGTCTCCGTCCGAAGCCGAATTCAACTCGAAGGGGAAAGGAGCTAGAGCTTAGCTCTCTTCGGATTCGGATAGAGCGTGGTCAGAAACCCCCAAACTGATAAAAAAATTACGAAAAAGTTTTAGTTTAAATTATTAAAATTAACTTTGAAAGTTTTTTCCTTAGTAAAAGGGGCGGGGGACGGAGGTTGGGGTGATTTTGGACATAGTGAGCCAGGTCGCGCGCGTTTCGTGGATGAAAATTTTCACGGGGGATTTCATTTCTTTTTTTCTTTCATTCCATCCGGTCGGTCGTTATTTTCGTTTTTTAAAAGGATTTCGGCTAGGGGAGGTATCTTAAACCATCAGGAAGGTATTTAGGTAGTTTTTGAAGGGGATTTCAGCCATGGGGGGTATCTGAAGCCATCAGGAAGGTATCGAAGTAGTTTTTTAAGGGGATTTCAGCCATGGGGGGTATCTGAAGCCAGCAGGAAGGTATCTAGGTAGTTTTTGAAGGGGATTTCAGCCATGGGGGGTATCTGAAGCCATCAGGAAGGTATCTAGGTAGTTTTTGAAGGGGATTTCAGCCATGGGGGGTATCTGAAGCCATCAGGAAGGTATCTAGGTAGTTTTTGAAGGGATTTCAGCCATGGGGGTATCTGGAAGCCATCAGGAAGGTATCTAGGTAGTTTTTGAAGGGGATTTCAGCCATGGGGGGTATCTGACGCCATCAGGAAGGTATCTAGGTAGTTTTTGAAGGGGATTTCAGCCATGGGGGGTATCTGAAGCCATCAGGAAGGTATCTTGGTAGTTTTTGAAGGGGATTTCAGCCATGGGGGTATCTGAAGCCATCAGGAAGGTATCTAGGTAGTTTTTGGAAGGGGATTTCAGCCATGGGGGGTATCTGAAGCCATCAGGAAGGTATCTAGGTAGTTTTTGAAGGGGATTTCAGCCATGGGGGGTATCTGAAGCCAGCAGGAAGGTATCTAGGTAGTTTTTGAAGGGATTTCAGCCATGGGGGGTATCTGAAGCCATCAGGAAGGTATCTAGGTAGTTTTTGAAGGGGATTTCAGCCATGGGGGGTATCTGAAGCCATCAGGAAGGTATCTAGGTAGTTTTTGAAGGGGATTTCAGCCATGGGGGGTATCTGAAGCCATCAGGAAGGTATCTTGGTAGTTTTTGAAGGGATTTCAGCCATGGGGGTATCTGAAGCCATCAGGAAGGTATCTAGGTAGTTTTTGAAGGGATTTCAGCCATGGGGGTATCTGAAGCCATCAGGAAGGTATCTTGGTAGTTTTTGAAGGGGATTTCAGCCATGGGGGGTATCTGAAGCCATCAGGAAGGTATCTAGGTAGTTTTTGAAGGGGATTTCAGCCATGGGGGGTATCTGACGCCATCAGGAAGGTATCTAGGTAGTTTTTGAAGGGATTTCAGCCATGGGGGTATCTGAAGCCATCAGGAAGGTATCTAGGTAGTTTTTGAAGGGATTTCAGCCATGGGGGGTATCTGAAGCCATCAGGAAGGTATCTAGGTAGTTTTTGAAGGGGATTTCAGCCATGGGGGGTATCTGAAGCCATCAGGAAGGTATCTAGGTAGTTTTTGAAGGGGATTTCAGCCATGGGGGGTATCTGACGCCATCAGGAAGGTATCTAGGTAGTTTTTGAAGGGGATTTCAGCCATGGGGGGTATCTGAAGCCATCAGGAAGGTATCTTGGTAGTTTTTGAAGGGGATTTCAGCCATGGGGGGTATCTGAAGCCATCAGGAAGGTATCTAGGTAGTTTTTGAAGGGGATTTCAGCCATGGGGGGTATCTGAAGCCATCAGGAAGGTATCTAGGTAGTTTTTGAAGGGGATTTCAGCCATGGGGGGTATCTGAAGCCAGCAGGAAGGTATCTAGGTAGTTTTTGAAGGGATTTCAGCCATGGGGGTATCTGAAGCCATCAGGAAGGTATCTAGGTAGTTTTTGAAGGGGATTTCAGCCATGGGGGGTATCTGAAGCCATCAGGAAGGTATCTAGGTAGTTTTTGAAGGGGATTTCAGCCATGGGGGGTATCTGAAGCCATCAGGAAGGTATCTAGGTAGTTTTGAAGGGGATTTCAGCCATGGGGGTATCTAAAGCCACCAGGGAGGTATCGAAGTAGTTTTTTAAGTGGATTGCATGAAGGGTAGCCCGAAGGCCAGATGGTTACAGTCGCGAAGCGACTGGAACCATCTGGTCTTTCATAATCGCTGGGGATTTGTTGATGATCACATAGACAGATAGCAGAGCCATTGGCACACTAACAACAGGTACAAAATGGCCGTACGTTACGTAAATATGTGGATAGGTATAAGGGACACATTCCGGTGACTCCATCCAACCTTGACAATGCAAAAACGTTTTTCAAAGGGGGGGAAGTAGAGAAGCTTCTTGGCGGCAGGTGATAAAGAAATTGCCCCTTGCACGTACGTAGGTTTTTTGCTTCTGGTCGCCTGAGGTTCCTTACCTGGAAGGAAAATTCAACACCTACAGTACACAATTGCTGCCTAACATGCACAGGGTGTCCCAAAAATAAAGCGAATCATCTGGCCTTTCGCCGTGTTACAACCAATCGGCCACCTACATATGGTCACCTCCTACCTATCATTAGCGTTCCGATGGCCACACTCGGTCTTTATCTAATTATTAAAAATTCGCCCCTATCATGAAGGAAATCCGGGTCCATTTGGTGACGTCGCAGGTCTACAGGGCGTCTCAAATATGGCCCTTCTGACATTTCGCCGTGTTACATCGAATCGGTCCCAAATCTGGACCAGAGGCGTATCAGATCCTAAATAACAACAATCCTGACTTATGGCACTGTATTCCTAAGCATCGTCCCTCGGGGGGGAACAGTGCTTTAGCCCGAACCTTTGCTGTCGTCTAGTAGCCAAATTTTCGAAAACGCACCCAGAGTACAGCCAAAACACAGCCAAAACCGGACATGGTGCGTGAAATCTGATTCCGGTTGCGGCCAGATACCTTTACGGCACACTCCTTTGTTTGTCTGGTCCAAAAATTGGTGCGGATAATTGCGGATACTCCATTTTTCGTTATTTAGTTTAAGGTGCCGTGCCCGATTTTTGGCCTCTTTATATTGGAAAGTTGAAACATGACAGCTTACGAAAGAAGTAATTATCATAAACTTAAAAATTTAAACAGAACGAAGAATCAGAATTAAGGGTTGGAACCGGCGACCAGAAAACAGCAAAATTTATGAATATGCTTCGCGGATAGCGGACTGCTATGCTATTACAAATTGAAACACAAAGCGGGAGGTTTTCAGGCATGATTAATACATCGGCGAAGCATTGTAGGTATAAAAACTTTCACACAACCGCTTAATTTTGTCCAAATAATCAACGAGATGCTCCAGCGCTTTTCAGAGTTCCGGACATGGGAGTCGGCTCTTCAGCGCCGCTTTGAAAGATTTTGCTCGGATGCCGTGGCCACCACTGCAACTTCAGGATCTCCCGAGTCCGCTGGCGATATGTCTGAAAATACGGATAGTAAAAAGGAATCGAGGTCAATTATAATTCCTCAATTGTCGTGTCAAGCGCCAGGCACCTTAAAAAGTAGTAGAGCTAAAATCGCGTCACATCCGGAGTAGCCTCCTATGAAGAGTGGAGCGCATATTCCCCAGTTGTGGGGGACGATTCCTAATAAAATCGGGGGTAAAAATTATGGAGAATCGGAAACTACCTGTTCTCCCTCCAATTAGAACCACAAAAACGGGCACGAATTCGAAAATGAACGGGGAGATCGCCTATAAATACTGTAATTTAACAGAAAAATCCATTCATTGTGGCCCTTGAAAACAGTTCCGAAAGCCGAAATAACTTCTCAAGGATCGCTGCTCATTTGCTATGATTATAAAGCTTAAAATAGGGACTACCTGGGCTAAAAGGAGAAACAACAATTGTAGCTGAAATCGTTGTACCGTGCCGCTCGTGGTGTTGCGCTTCACGTAGTAATATCTGAAGCGCGAATTTATCAAACTTTTGCCTGGTTATTCATTTTTATTTTTTTTTAGTATCCATGCTTACAACATGTGATAGCATACTTAAATCGAAAAATTACTGCTTACAATTTGATCCCGGTGATGCATGTCGCTCCGTAGAGTCCGGAAAATACGCACAATGCGATCACCGTCCCAGACACCATAATCCAATCATAATGTTCAACACCGTAGTTGTCAGGGTGCTAAAAAAATGGCTTTTGATCTTTACTTAAGATAAACAGGTCCAAATTCGATAAAATTCACTTACCGAAAACACGGGTCCGTAATAATAAATATCGGGCGTGAGGGTGATATTCAAAAATTCCTTGGTTTCAGTGTAGGAAAGCATTCTTCGTATGTCGCTTGGCTTAAATAATTTTGTTTTGGGTTAATAAGTATTTTTCGACTGACCTGCATTGAAATTAGACAAGTCGATTCTATTGCCCAGGATATGGAAAAATGCCAGACGGTTAGGGCAATGATACCCCTCTTCTTTTCGATCATGTCTCGATATTTTCTGTATTTTTTATAAACCTTTTTGGAACTAATACCCAGTGATTTTGACATATCGATAAAAGCAGTGGATCATCAACAACGATAGCGATTGACCAAAGCCATTCACAAAAAAGCGCGAGACCAATTTTGGAGGCGGTCACCATGTAGGTAAATGTTTTCGAAATCACGATGAACCCGCGCTCGTCCATGATGTAGGCCTTTAAGAATATAAATAAAATTTTTATCAGATTAACGTAGTTTAAGGTTTGTGACGTAATTGGCGCTCATACAACTTTAGGCTATTCATTCTATTTGATATATGTATCGGAATTATCCGAACTTTGATGATCCTTTTCAAAAAACGGATAAACCTACCGGATTGACCACTTTGTAACGATCGAATAATAGATATTAAAAACGGATATAATCGTGAGTATTGGCCGACTCCCCCGGGCTTCCCGTCGGGTTACGGTATAGATGACAAAGAGTAGAAACAGATTCGACCCGACGCCAATAGCGCACACCCAGGTGCTGGCATAGTCTTGGAATTGACTGGTGCATATCATCCTGCCTTAAATTCAAAAAGTATGCTACTAAGCGTCTGGTCAAACTATAGTTTCATCACCTATAATGAGTATTTCTTGGAAAAAATGCGCTGGGAGCGCTGCGGTTTAAAACAATCAACCAAAACAATCTCAGGACACTTTGGCAGTCCGTCTGGAGCGGGATACCTTTGAGCGCGTACTTTTGTCATTGAAACATAGAAAATTCACAGAAATTGGAATTTTTGAAATAACTGCTTTGGATGCATGGGACGTTTCATAGACTTGGACTTACGCTTAGGCGGATGCTTACGTTTCGAAGTTGGGCTAAGCCAAACAAGGCCAAGCCTAAGATGCTTTGACGACGATGCGTGAGCAGGCTCTTTAATAAGTTTTGCAACAAGCAGATACGCGTTTTCAGGAGGGAAAATTAAATGCGATGTCAGCCATCTGACTGGCGATGTACAACATTCCTTTCGAACCAGAGAACCAACAACGAATGGGACGAACTTGTGATTCATAGAGTTTTATCGTTTCCAAAAAAAAACGGTACTTTAATCAGCGAATTTGGCACAATATGCTGGTGGCCAGGTTCCGGATGCCCCCATCAGGGAATTCAAATCCATGCATCATCATCTGTGTCACTTCATATTCGATTTTCGGTGTACTGTATCGTCGATTATTTGTCCTCAATCGCTAAAAGTAAAGTTTTTTTTACTCAGGCTGAAACTACGAAATGAGACCTAACCCAACTTGTGCAGAATTTTACGCTGACTACGCATCTGTTTTCAAAAGTCGCGGTATGGCAGATTTTGAACAGTTACAATGTATTTTAGTGTTCGACAGTGTAAAAATACCCAAACTTCAATGTTCAATGGCAAAATGCCAGCGTGACGTTTTTTATTGGGACACCCTGTATACGAACAAAAAAGAAAACTTTGCAAAATTGCATTAAAATTTATGTAGGTGTCGCAACACTTTGAAGGGCTCCAGACATCGGTGCTGCTTCTATCGTCCCGCCTTGAAAGATTTTGCTGCGATGCCCTGGCCACCAGTGCAGTTTTAGGATTTCGATAGTGCGGCGACGATAAACCTAAAAAGAAGCATCAGTACGGCAATTTTCATTCAAGCCCCTAGCACCTACTATACCTTGAAAAGAAGCAGCGCCAAAATCGCATCACAGCCCGAGTAGCCTCCAAGGAAGAGTGGGGCGCAGATGCCCCAGTGATGTGGAACAATACCTAAATGTTTATCATAAAAAGTCTATCTATCTTAAAGGGATAGGGGCGGCATGAGTCAATCGATTAAGCGCGGGAAAGAAAATGTCTCTGCGCCTCTCCCCTGGGCGCCCCCTCTCGTCGCCCCATCTGTTGAACCCCCCCTCCCCAAGGGGGGTTCAACAGATGCCGTACTCATCTCTTTAAGTCTTTCTTGATTTACCTGTCGTTCCACCAATCAGTATTACAATTGCGGGCGCGAATTCAAATATGAACGGCGATACTGCCTGAATTGTCGCATAATTTTTGAAACTACGGTCTATTACAAACCCAATCTTCCTCACCTGTGCTAGCAGCAAAAGTAGCAATTGAAGCTGAAATCGTTGCACAGCTCCCCTCGTTGTGTTGTTTTTAACGTAAGAATATCTAGCATAAATTTACAAAGTTGGTTAAGCCCTGGTCTCGGCCCCGCTAATTTTCATTTTTTTTTTATCGGGGCCCGGAAGTCGGAGCTTCGTGTATGTAAATTAGATTCCAGGCCGGGCCGCACTAAATTGCCCTGGGTGCTTAAAGCGGCTCTGGCAGCACACCGATTACGGCATTTTGGGGACCGGGCAGAGACGCAGAGTTTGTCTGCGTCTCTCCTCTGGGCGCGCTCTTTCTCTCCTTGCCGCGACGCACCCGACCGCGACGCTTCTACGAGTCGTGGAAAAAAGGGGCTTGCTGCCAGAGCCGCTTTAAGCCTAACAAGCAAGCCAACTAATATGCAAGCCAAGGGGTTTACTATACTAACTCACAATTTAATCCCAGTAATGCACGTCGTCCCATACAAACCGGTAAATACACACAAAGCTACCACGGTGCCCGAAACCATCTTCCAATCGTACTGCTCAATACCGGACTCGTCAGGGTGCTAAATTTCTTTGCATTTTCGTCTTTACAGTGGTTTAACAACGAATCACGCAGAATTTTTCAAAAATGCTTCTGCTTAAGCTTAACTTACCGAAAATACCGGTCCGTATTAATAAAGATCGGGCGTTAGAGTGATATTCAAAAATTCCTTTGTCTCACAAGGGGATGGTCTCAGCTCGGAATCGAATTCGGATTTGAAAATTTGCACACTTATAGAGCTCGACGAGACAAATCGATTGGTGTAACTTTCAGCAGCAGATACCCCGAACTAACAAAGTTATAAGCATTTTTAGTTTTTGCATACATTTTGCAGATTTTTCGCCATACCTTCATAAGCCCTCCCCCTTCCCCTATCACCGTGGCCTGGTGGCCTAGTGGTGTGGTACGCGGCGTCTGGGGAATCTATCAAGGGTTCGAACCCACTCACGATTTTTATTTTTTGCTTTTTGGTCCAAAGATTCCTCTTGGCATTCCAAAGGCCTTTAATGGCTTTTTAGGCATTCACCAGGAACCAGGAAGCGCTTGCAGCAAAAAATCCCACTCCTAAAAATTTTTGGAAATTTTGAGAGTTCGCAAGGTAACCATAGTAGGATCAGTTCAAAGAAAATAATTTTGATTATTTTCATGCAGCTTGGGATACGATAAAGTGTTGATAAGCAGATTGCCAGCCTTCTGAAAATTTCCCCAAAATTTTTTGAGGAGGCATGAGCACAGGCACAAAATTTTAAATTTTTCGCAAAGCTGCTTTATTGTTGGCAACGCTTCCCGGTTCCTGGTGAATGCCTACAAAGCCATTAAAGGTCTTTGCAATGCCAAGAGGAATCTTTGGACCAAAAAGCAAAAAATAAAAATCGTGAGTGGGTTCGAACCCTTGATAGATTCCCCAGACGCCGCGTACCACACCACTAGGCCACCAGGCCACGGTGATAGGGGAAGGGGGGAGGGCTTATGAAGGTATGGCGAAAAATCTGCAAAATGTATGCAAAAACTAAAAATGCTTATAACTTTGTTAGTTCGGGGTATCTGCTGCTGAAAGTTACACCAATCGATTTGTCTCGTCGAGCTCTATAAGTGTGCAAATTTTCAAATCCGAATTCGATTCCGAGCTGAGACCATCCCCTTGTCAGCATATGACAGCATTCGACGCAGCTCGTTTGGATTAAATTTTTGATAAAATTGAACGTCTTCATCTTTTTTACACCTTCATCGAAATTAGACAAGTAGACTCGACTGCCCAGGATATAAAAAAGTGCCAGGATATCAGAGCGAAGATGCCTCGCTTTTTCTCGATCATACTTCGATATTTTCTAAAATGCAAAGTTTGGCTAGAAAAGCGCTGAAACAACCCATTGGTTTTGCAATGATTTAAGTGCTTAAGGTTATACCCAGTGATCTTGACGTATCGATAAAAGCAGTGGATCATCAATAAAGAGAGTGATTGCCCAAATCCATTCACAAAAAGGGCCAAGCCGATCTTGGAGGCTGTTGTGATATTGACAAAGGTTTTTGAGATCGTGATAAATCCGCGCTCGTCCAAGAGATAGGTCTAAAAATATCACAATTGTTTTATAACTCAAATAAAAAAGCAACTCGAATTATTCTATATACGGACTGAAAAACCGCTTCACGTCTTTTCGATCCTGGCCCCGAGCTAGGACCGATGATCGTCTTCCCTCGGAATAGTCTCCTTCGACGCTCTATATAGGCTCTCGCCGCTTCGGGCGAGATGCAAATTGTCTCTTTCCAAAGTGGTTTTTTGACATTTTTGCGAAAGCTTAAAGGGCGTCTCGCAGCCACCCCGTTTTCCACGATCCGTGGAAGCGTCGCGGTCGGGTGCGTCGCAGCAGGGAGAGAAAGAGCGCGCCCAGAGGAGAGACGCAGACAGAACTCTGCGTCACTGCCCGGCCCCCAAAATTCCGTAATCGGTGTGCTGCGAGAGCCGCTTTAACTTGGTTAATTCAACCCGTTTTTCGACGTTTCAAAAAACCAAACCCGCCCACCGGATTCACCACCTTGATCACGATCGAAAAATAGATATTGAAAAGCGAGATAATAGTGAGAATTCGGCGACTTCCCCCTTGCTTCGGTCCGAGATATGGTGTAGATGACAAAGAGTAGGATCAAGTTCGACCCGACCCCGATAGCGCACACCCAAGTGCTCGCGTAATCTTGGAACTCGCTCGTGCAGATCATCGAATTCTGATCAGTTGATCTAGAGATCGAAAATGAGCTTGAGTAGAACACCAAGGTTGAATCCGTGTGAAGTCTAGTTTGAAAATGCGTTAGACAGCCAATAAAAATCCCAAATTTCCCGTGGTCTGGTAAAAATCTCCCAAAACAATCCCAGGCCACTTTTAAAGTGTCGGCTTACGGATTTTGCGTAATATGGGATGTTTTAATTAGAAACGTAGTTAGTTTAGTCACGTAGCTTTTCATGGTGCCTTGAAAGACATAGAAACTTGATTAAAAAAAATTTGGAAATCTATACATACCATAGTTCCTCTAATATAACCCCGGGGGGAATTCCAGTCATTTTTCCTAAATTCATTTTTCCTAAATTCATTTTTCCTAAAAATCATTTTTCCTAAAAATCATTTTTCCAAAAATCATTTTTCCTAAAAGTCATTTTTCCTAAAAATCATTTTTCCTAAAAGTCATTTTTCCTAAAGTTCATTTATCCTAAAACCGGTTAAATACCGTAAAGGCCTAGTTCTTTAGTACTATGCATGAGAAAATAGAAAATTATTTAGAATAAGGTCAGATCTGCCTAGAGTGATCATAGGAAGTATTTGAGTTGCGCGTTTAGCCTAGATTTGGGTGATTGGAAGTGAAAAGGATCAATTATAATAAGAAAGATTTTCGATAAAAGCCTACTAATAACCAAACCAAACAAATACTGCTAAAAAATGATAGCATTTGGAATTTCTTGATATTTTTACGCATCCCTATTGAATGAAAAATTTTAGGAAAAATGACTTTTAGGAAAAATGATTTTTAGGAAAAATGGCTTTTAGGAAAAATGATTTTTAGCAAAAAAAGATTTTTAGGAAAAATGAATTTAGGAAAAATGAATTTAGGAAAAATGATTTTTAGGAAAAATGAACATAACCCCCCCCCCCCCCCCGGGGGGTTATATTCTTTCGATCAGCTCCGGGGTGGGGTTGTATTAGGGGAGGGCTATATTTTTCGGGATTTTAGGCATTTGCAACGATTTTCGCCGTACAAACTGCTCACAACCTCTCGAAAAACATTACGAGGTTGAAACAGAGACGTTTTTGGCATTTTTTTTCACTTCGGTCCACTCTATTCTATTCCATTAAAGCAATTATTTGATGAATTATGACCATGAACGTTTTCCCAACACCTTTTTGACAAAAAACCTCGAAGAGAAATAGAATAAAAATAGGTTTGATATTTTGGATTTGAGATGTGATTCAGCTAAATATTATATGCAGAAGAAAGATTTTCCTGAACCCGCTAAAAATTGTGATTTTTCAATGATGACAAACTCATTCTTGCGTAATCCACAGAAGCTTTAGAAGGAGCGCTTAAGCTTAAAAAAAATCGATTTTTAAATTGAAAATAAATCTGGTCTACTGACAATTTGTGAAACGAAACTCAAGCCGCTGTGGCGGATAATTGGAAGATAAAACCCAAGGAAAGGATATCTTGAGACATCCTGGAGCACATCTTTAGGAATTTTTCAGGGGACGGAGTCCAGATCAATAAACATTATCGCGTCGACACCTGTCCTTTCGGTCTTTATTAAAAAAAGAAAAGTTATGGCGAGATTGTCGCGCTTTTCTTGGGTCCCGACGCGGGCTTGGAGTCTTCGGTAGCAGTTTGGAAGATTTTGCTGCGATGACGGGGGCAGAGCTTGAACCTGCAGATTTCGAGCATTCGCCGGCGATAGGCCTAGAAAGGATGAGGTATTTAGCAATGGAATGGCCCGACCGAGTGCGGTAGTGGCCTGTAGGCTCCTGCGAAAAGACGCAAAAATCGCTTTCAGAACGAGGAATCTAACTCAAGTTTTCGTCACCTTGAATAAAAGTAACGCCAGAATGGCGTCGCAGCCCGAGTAGCCACCAAAGAACAATGGGGCGCAGATGCCACCGTAGTGCGGAACGAGTCCTGAAGCGGATTTTTTGATGTGAAAAATATGCTACTTGTAGTCCCTCCAACAAGTACGATAAAGACGGGCACGAATTCGAAGATGAATGGGGAGACTGCCTGAAATCTGGGATTCTCTCTGTCTCTCTCTCTCTGTCTCTCTCTCTCTTTCTCTCGCTCACCTGTGCCAGCAGAAGGAGCAACAATTGAACCTGGTATTTTTGCACCGTTCTACTGATTGTACGGCGCTTCACGTAGAAGTATCTGAAGCGGAAGTTAGTTGACCCTTTACGTGTTCATCGTACAGTTTCATCCCTGTGATGCACGTCGTCCAGTACAATCCGGAAATTACACTCAAAGCTGCAACTGTCCCGACGATCATGATCCAGTTGTACTTCTCGATACCGTCGGGACCGGGATTCTAAAAGGGATATTGATAGGGATAATGAGAGATCGCGAGAGTGAGGGGGGGGGGGGCAACGAGGGTTGGAGAGAGTGAAGAAAGGGATAAGGGAATACATGGCATCTATATAAAAATATATATACGTACCGAGAATACAGCCCCATAGTAGTAAACGTCCGAGGTTAGGATGATATTGAAAAATTCTTTGGTATCCTTGTATGAAAGCTGCCTTCGCACTTCGGTCGGCTAAATAAGATTGTTAGTTGAATTTAATGCGCTGCTTCTTTATCTCCAGAAATATTTAGAGATAATACTTGTTACTCACCTGCATCGCAATGAGACAAGTCGATTCCATCGACCAGGATATAAAAAAAGTGCCAGATGACCAGAGCAAAATTCCCGCATTTCGTCTCGACCATCGCGCGATATTTGCTATGATTTAAGATCACCTGTAGGATATTGTTAAAGTACCCAGTGATCTTAACGTATCGATAGAAGCAGTGGATCATCAATAAAGATAGCGATTGCCCAAATCCATTAACATATAGCGCCAGGGCTATTCTCGTCACGACGCGGCTTGTTGTGAAAGTTTGGGAGAGCATGAGAAAGCCACGTTCGTCCATCAGATAGCCCTTAAGGGTATAAATAATGGTGTTTAAATTATGAGAAAAAAATATTCTACTGCCTACAACATCAGAGTACATTTTAATACTGTATAAATATAGGTCGGCCGAGATCAGGGATCTTTCTTATTATTTTTAGCTTTTTGAACTTATCCAAATCTGTTTTTATTACTCTATTATTCCTTACCGGATTCACAACTTTTATAATCGTTGAGAAATAAATGTTATAAATGGATATAATCGTGAGCATGGGTCGACTCCCCCTTGCCTCAGCCCGGGGTACGGTATAGATGACAAAGAGCAGTAGCAGGTTCGACCCGATCCCAATTACGCATACCCACGTGCTCGCGTACTTTTCGAATTCGCTAGTGCAGAACATAATTCGCGGTATCTGTAAAAGAAAGATCCGAGTCTAGGAATTTGCTTATTGTGTCTGGAAAACGGGACAATTCTGGCGAGACCAAGAAACATGGGCGAATTCCCCCGGTCGCATTAAAGGCAATCCCATGAAAGTTTTTCAAATTTGCGGAATGCGATTTTCCGAAGGGATAAGCAATATCAGGCCCAGAAATGTTCAAAACTCTTGTTTATAAAAATAAAAATAAACTTGATAAATATAAAAATAAAAACCTCGAAAATGTAAATTTCCTAACGTTAAAAAGCACAGTTCTGCAAACTTTTTGAACATATTTGGAAGTAGCGCAAAATTCTGCACAAGCTAAAAAGTTCCCAACTTGAATGACGACGACACTAAAACGTCTCCTTGTTTGTATCAGCGCAGGATGAGGCCTGGATGTAGGCGAAGCTCGGACTTAGGAGTGGCTTAGGATTTAGTTAGGCTCAAGCTCAAGCCTCGACCTAAATCGCTTAAAAACAACGCTTAAAAAGGATGCGGATATATTAGGTTGGACCGAAAGTCCTTACATTCGACCTTTTCAAAATAATTACGCCAGCAAACCGGTCGGTTTTGAGCATCCCTGGTTTACTCTACAGCGCTACTACATTCCCTCAAAAGAACGAATTCATCCGGCTTCCGACAGCTTTTTTATAACTAGTTATCCTTGAGACACCTGCGGCGACATAAGAGATCCTTCCCACCTTCTAGCCCTGGAAAAATTGTTGATACCATAATCCTCCAGCCGTAATTCGTCAAGTGTAATGCCAGTATAAGATCTTTTTAGCTATGGTGCCCAATTAGCTATCGCCTTCGTTGTTCTCGTTAGTTTGATTCAATACCTCGATTCTGGATCGTTCCACCCAGAACGCTAGCCAGAATTTAATGGGGGGGGCAACCAGAATTAAACTACTCCACTTATTATGTGCAGTATATAATGACAAACATTTTATGGATAGCGAATATTTTCCTTGCCTTTTCTAACTGGCCAAATTTTGGAAATCGCGGATTGCCAAATACAGGGTGTCCCAAAACCCCCTACCTAGCGGTCCGCAGTCGATTCCGATTTTTACGATTTAGGTATCTATCGAAAGCTCTCGAAAAGGCGAGAAAACAAGGAAGGTTGAATTGCTTAATTAAGCCTTTTTATTTGCTAATTTTATGTCCAAAAACCATGAAAACTGCTGATTTATGCGAGATCTGCATGCTAATTGCGAAACTCCTGATGAAAAATTCCCGGCTTTTTAGGAAAACCTGAAATATCGATAGAATCAGATTAAATCTTAGAAAACAAAACCCGCTTGTTTTCTCGCCTTTCCGAGAGCTTTCGATTGGTATAAAAATCATTCCGATCCGATCCGATTGACGGCCTCTAGAGGGGGGGTTTGGGACACCCTGCAGTCGACCCTGAGATGTGGAAGCGCCACAATTTTTCGCTTGCTACTCGTCAACGCGTGCCAATCAAATTTTGCATATTCTACAGCGACATTTGGCATCAGCAGCGGATACTACATGAAAATTGCCAAACCCACAAGCCCAATGTTTCGGGATGAAAAAAATAAAAATCAAGAGCGTGCCAAATTGAGGATTATGGTCCGTCCGGGAGCCGCTATGGAATATTGGTGCATAGGTAATCTACGGTCTAGAAGTAGTAACAACCAAGCTCCATTTGGTTAAAATACTCGCAAAAAGTTAGCCACTAAATTCAGAGAAAACGCCGGGCGAAAGGATTTGTCATTTCAGAGCCCGAAAACCAAAATTGGCATCTTACGAAAATGATTTGCAAAAAAATAATGAAGCAAGCGATTGTAATTTTATTGATTACATTGCATAGCCCGAACATCTTTCTATCTAATGCCACTGATTTAGCAAGGCAGACTTCATAATGGCAGCAGATATCCTTCACGGAATCAAAAAACCCCAAAACTCGAGTTACCCAGCCTCTTGGCGCCATAATTAACCCTGTTTTGGGAGTTAGTGGTTTTTACTCGCACTCAGGCACGACGACGCGTGTGCCTTCATCGTAGCAAAAAACTAGAATGAACGCATGGAAGTTTCCTTAAAAATTTTGAGTTCGAAAAATTGCACGAACTTATGGTCCAGCCTAATAGAATTTTTTAAGACCGTCTCTCGAAAAAGATCAAAACATGTGGGCAAATTCCCAAGCTTTCCATCGGTTCTCATGCTTATTGGCGGATGGTGGGCCAAATCCTACTTCTTATTTTTAAGCAGCAATTCGCTTGTTTTGATCGAGAACCACGTGCTTTACAGGGAAAGTGCTGATTTAAAAGAAAAGTGTCACACCAGTGACAATAATTTGCGCACTCGATAGCCGGGAGAGCAAAAGACGGGGAACTTTGGGCCGATTTATTCAAGGGTCCCGGTGGGGTACCCTTTTATGAATACACAGCAAAAACGGGGTAAACGGGGACTGGGACAAAGGCGATGATGAAGGCGAAGAAGGCGGCGATGAAGGCGAACACGAAGGCAATGGAGACGGCCGGAGAGTAGACGAGCCTCGCGGTGGCGAACGGCTTGCTAGACCCGGGAAGACGCAGATGTTGACTTGTCTTGAGGAAGAAGGCGGGCGTTTATATAGTCGGGAACGCAGGGAATACAGGGTCGCCTTCCGGATGCCACGGAACCGCATGCAAAGTGGACATGCGAACGTCGGTGGACGAGGGCTTGTGCTTGAACACGATGTTGTGGCCCTGGATCGCGGAGACGCCCATAGAGAAGAGACGGGGAACACGGTCAATCAGCACGGCTCTGCGGGCTTCGGAGGATTGCCGGCAAGAAGGAGAAGGCTGCTCGTAGCAGCGTATTGTATTGAGTTATAGTTATTTGAGGGATTTATTAGGTTAGGTAACCGTGATCGTCACGGGGACGTGACACTCCCGGGGGACGAATTTTTATATTCGAATTTTTTGTAATTTTGCATCTGCGCCGCATTTGGGCGCGATGCCCTCCCGGGGGACGAGAAATCGACCATACGGTCTTAAAGCCGCAGCCGGAGAGGAACACCATAAATGCACATAAGTTTGTATAAAGTGGGTATTTTTATGTTGTTAATCACCAATCTTCATCTGAGGCGTTTTCCTTATAATTGCCAGTAAATTGGTTATTTCTTTTTTGGTCTAGTTTCGTGAACAGTTGCTTTGGGTATATCGATTTGCGTAGCAATTTCCAGCGGAATAAGCTGTGAAATAGCTCGTTGGATAATTCGAGTTCTGGGGGTCCGTAGGAGTGCCGCTCTCACCTGGCCATCCGGACTTTTAATCAGTTCTGTGATAATACCCTTAGGCCAAGACCCGCGGGGCGCTTTTTATTCCTTTGTTGTTGGTATCGATGATCAGAACCATGTCTCCAACTTTTGGTACAATCGAAGTAGATTGACCATTTTGTGCATTGAGCTTCTTCTGATTTTCGCGTAATTCGGCTAAATAGACGTCTTTCCAAATTTGCCACATTTTTTCAAGTTCTTTAGTGTGCACGTTGAAGGTTTTTACCAACTTTTGTACATTTTGATTTGTCTGTGGATCGAATTCTGGATCGTCCACATTGTGCGCCAAAGTATAGGCCTCAATCAATTGTAACCCTGGAGTCACGAAATCGATTGGTCGAATAATATAGTTTTCAATTTCATTACCAGGGTAGGTTAATGGTCTGGAGTTCACGATTGCTTCCAATTCGTGGAGTACCGTAGGAAATTCATCCAGATGGAATTTTCGTGGATTCTGAAGTTTGTCGAGGGTCTTTTTGACGCATCCAACCATTCTTTCGTAAAAGCCGCCTTTCCAAGGGGCTAAGGGTGTGATGAATTTCCATCTAATGCCTTTTTCAGTGAGGAAGTCTTGGAATGTGTCCTCACGATGTTCTGTTGCCTTTAGGATCTTTTCGGCAAGAACAAAGTTGGTTCCGTTGTCGGAGATCATGGTTCTTGGTACTCCTCTACGAGCGCAGAAACGCTTCAGAGCGAGTAAGAATGTCCTTGCACTTTGATCTTCGACCATTTCCAAATGGACGAGTCTGGTGGTCATGCAAGTGAATAATGCAACCCAACGTTTGATTTCGCTGGGCTCATTTTGATTTTGCATTTTTAGCATGACTGGCCCGAAATAATCGACGCCGCAGTTTTCAAACGGTATTGCTCGATTTACTCTTTGGTGGGGTAGGTCGGGCATTGGCGGATATCGGAAGGGTCTTCCTTGGAATCTTTTACAGTGAACGCATTTCGATATGTAGGCTTGTGTAGCGCTTCGGATTCTCGGGATCCAGAAGCACTTTCGAATTGCAGTAAGCGTTTGGTTGACG